ATCCGGATGCAATGTTTCATATGCTGGCGCGGGAGAGGATGTGGCCGAGGGGGGGAGGAGGAGAGATGCGAGATAGGGATACACATATATATGTGAAGCAAGAGAAAGAGAGAGAGAGAGAGAGAGAGAGACGCAGACGCAGAGAGTGAGAGAGAGAGAGATGGGGAATCGGAGGGATGGGCAGTGGCACAGAGCGATAGCGGAAGAGAGAGAGATAGAGAAGGGCTCATTGAATACGAGGGGGGCCTCTGGGCCGTTCCGTGCCTTAGGCTACAAGCCAAGAGGAGGCGCCACTGTGTGCTAAGGCTTCAGGGTGAAGACATTCTGCTCAGCGTGCTGCGCCGACGCGCAGAGTCGTCGGGTCGGGGGCGGCTCCGCGCGCGAGGCGTCCACTTCCGCCTCCTCCTCCTCCTCCTACTCCTGCTCCTGCTCCTCCTCCTTCTCCTCCTCCTCCTCCTCCTCCTCCTCCTCCTCCCCCTCCTCCCCTCCTCCTCCCCTCCTCCTCCTCCTTCTCCTCCTCCTCCTGCTCCTCCTCCTCCTGCTCCTCCTCCTGCTGCTGCTCCTCCTCCTGCTGCTCCTCCACCTCCTGCTCCGCCTCCGCCTCCTCCCTCTCCTCCTCCTCCTCCTCCTCCTCCTCCTCCTCCTCTTCCTCCTCCTCCTCCTCCTCCTACTAGCGTCGAAAGCGGGGCTGCGCGCGAGGATCTTGTTGTGTGGTGGCAGTCGTTGCAGTTGTGTCGGGTGGTGGCGGGTTGCGGTCTGCGTCGTCGCTGGTGCTGTCGGTGCAGAGGTCATTGCCGAGTGTTTTGTCGTCCGTGCCGTTGGCAGCCTTGATCTCGTGGCTGCAGCAGGGATCCGCGCAGCGAAAGGTGTGTCGTTGGCGTCTCCTGGTGATCACGGGAGGAGGAGGAGGAGGAGAAAGAGGATCAGGAGGAGGACGACCAGTGCGAACCCAAGACTCATCAACGATGTTACAATAGCCCTCCTTCCAAGGTCACTCTTCATAGGCTTTTGCTGCGGGAGAGTCCCGTTGGAAGATAATTATTTCAAATCTGCAACTGTGCCAAAGCACCATTCCTTGGACTTCAACGCTGTTAGTCAACGTTGCTGCTGCGAGCTCACGATCCTAAATCTTGCCAGAAAATAGTTTCTGGGACGTGAGTGCCACGATCAACGTTGCTGTCGCGCCCTGACAATCCTAACTCGTGCCAACACAATTTCTGTGCAACCATGATAATCCTTGAGCCTGTTGTGAATTTGGTAAGACGAATGTGCAATGCGCTCAGGCGACAGCCACATTTTGAAAAGGAGCTGCCCTCCATCCGTGAAACTATTCGACACTTGCTAAGACGGATGTTCGCGGCGCTAAGGTGAGAACCACATTTTTGAAACCGCCCGCCCTCAATCCGTAAAAGGGTTGAGCAGATTTCAAGTTTCAGAATCAAAAACGGTGAGGAAGTCTCAAGCGAAACGCCTGGCCCGCCCTACCGGCCCGTTTCGGTGTGCGACAGGGAGGGTTATTGAATCGCTTCGCTCATTCCGCCGGCCCATGATGAGACACCGCGGTCGATTGGGCGAGAGGTCGTCGGCAGTGCGGAGCTGCAGGGGTCGGCGCATGTTTTTTTCTGAGGCGTTGCGTTCGGGATGGTGATGTTGAAGCTGCCCCCGCAAAACAGCTTCGCGTCGACCTTCTGAGGTGTCGGGGGAATCGTTGTTACCACGGGGCTTCTAGGTTGTGCCGCTCTGGGGTGTCCCTGGCGCCTTTGTGGGGGCTCGTTGCTCGTGGACGCTCATGCGGGGGCCATGAACACAGTGTAACTGTTGCGACAGGTATGCCCCTCGACGTGAGAGGGAAAAGAGAGAAAAAGAGAGAGAGAGAGAGAGTGTGCGTGGGCTTGGAAGGAAGGGAGCAAAAGGGGGTGGTCGCAGTGCATAGGGGCGACAGTGCATTGGCGAGAAAAGGAGGGGGAAAGCGGAGCAGGAGGAGGAGGATAAGAAAAAGGAGGAGGCGGGGGAGGGAGTGTGCAGCTTCAGTGGGGGAAGGGGGAGGAGGCAAATGTACGAGGGGGGTGAAGCGGAGAGAGGAGCCAGAGGGGAGTGATGGAGCAGCAGGGGGGCGCAAGTAAGCGACTTCGCCGAGAGCTTTCTGCTGAGGGGAGCGCGGCTGGCCTCTTGGGGCTCCGTTTTGGAGCCTTTTGGGGTCTCTTTCGGGCCTCTTTGGCGCCTCTTGGGGCCTCTGGGGGGCCTCTTGGGGCGTCCTGGAGGCCACTTGGAGCGGAAGGCTCGCATTTTCGGTTCGTGCTCTCCATCTTGGGCCCCTCTTGGGGCCCTCTTGGGGCCCTCTTGGGCGCCTTTTAGGCATTCTTGGGGCCCTCTTGGGCGGTCTTGGGACTCTCTTGGGGGCCTCTTGGGCCGTCTTGGGGTGGTCTTGGGGGCCTCTTGGGCCGTCTTGGAGCGTCGGAAAGGCGAAAAGGCGAGGAAGCCAAGAACCTTCAAAAACCAAAGGAAAATCATTGATTTTTGCCTCTTGGAGCTCTCTTGGGAAGGGTCGGGGCTCTCTTGGGACGTCTTGGAGACCTCGTGGGCCGTCTTGACGCCGTGTTGGGCGTCTTGGGCCGATCGTTCGGTGATTCGGAGCCCTCTTGGACCGTCTTGGGGGCCTCTTTTGGCCCTCTTGGCGCGCTCCGGGGGGCGTGGAAGGCCGCACCCAGGAGGGAAACCATCTCTGAGTAATAGTTCCCGGGCTTCGGGCGGGGTACTTTTCGCCGGGGGACCCCCAAGGGCCGTCCCGCGCGCGCGAACTAGAAGTATTGTTAACCAGTTACTGGAGATCTTGGCACGCCTCTGGCCCGTTGGGCCGGCGAATTCATCAGGAAGGGAGATGGAAGGGGAAGAGGAGGAGGAGGAGGAGGAGGAGGGAAAAGAAGGGGAGGAGGATTAAGAGGAGGAGGAGGATGTGAAGGAGGAGTAGGAGTAGGAGTAGGAGTAGGAGTATGATGATGATGATGATGATGATGATGATGATGATGATGATGATGATGATGATGATGATGATGATGATGATGATGAGGAGGATGAGGATGAGGATGAGGATGAGGATGAGGATGAGGATGATGATGCTTATGCTGATGCTGATGCTGATGCTGATGCTGATGATGATTATGATGATGATGATGATGATGATGATGATGATGATGATGATGATGATGATGATGATCATTCTGATCATGATGATGATGATGATGATGATGATGATGATGATGATGATGATGATGATGATGATGATGATGATGATGATGATGATGATGATGATCCCCCCTCAGCGGGCAACGTGCGCTGCACAGGAGCCGCCCCGCGGCCGCGGCCGCCGCGCCGAAGCCTCAGCCCCGGTCCGCCGAGTGCTCGCCCTCGACACAAACGCAGGCCGCCGGACGAGCGCAGAGAGCGACAGGCGCTACACAGCCCCCCCGCCGCCGGCGACGCGCTCCATGAAGTCGAGCCGCACCCCCGTGAGGAGACCCGCCTCCTCCGCGTCCGCCTTGAGGATGCGAACGCTGGCCGTGTCCCCGTCGACCGCGTCGATCCGCCCCACCGTGCCCTCAAAGAGGCCGCAGCGTCGCAAGACCACCACGTCGCCAGCGCCCACGGCCCGCCGACGGGCCGCCGCAGCCTGCGCCGTCGACCGCTGCAGGCCGTCGGCCCAGGAGTCGTCTATGGGGTCGCCGTCGGGCGGCGCGGCCGCCGCGGCTGCACCAGCCGCAGCTCCAGCTTCGGGGTCCCCCACGCCAGCCTCCGTCGCCGCCCCAACTCCACCAGGACGAGCACCTCCCCGAGAAGCGGGCGCTACCGTCGCCGACGACGCCTGGCCAGGCCGTGCCGGGCGCCGAAGCCGCCGAGCCCGCGTAGTCGCCGCTGTTGCGCCGCCAGCTCCTCCATCCTGCTGTTCCTCCGCGTCGTCGCCGTGGGCGCCCGGCACGGCAGGCGAGGGCCCGGCGCCGCGCCCCGCGCGGCCGCGCGGCCGGTGGCGCCTCCGAGGGAGCGCCGCGGCCGCCGGCTCCGGCGGGGAGGGCGCTGCCTTCGTGCCGAGCTCCACGATCGCTGCCCGGAGCAGCCCCTCGGCGGCCCGCAGCATGCGCACTCCCGACCGGGAGTGGCACGCCGCGAGCCCGCTGGCAGCATGCGCCGCCAAGAGAGCGCCGCGGGCCGCCTCGGCGGCAGCGCGGGCTCCAGAGGGACCGGCCATCGCTGCCCTTCCTCAGCCTCCACCTGCTGCCAGGGTAGCAGGCGGGCGGGTCTGTGCGGGCGCGCGGCCTGCGTCGGGGGCGCGGGCGCGCGCGGCGGGGCCAGCGTGCACGCCTTGGGCCAGTATGCCGACTATGATGATGATGATGATGATGATGATGATGATGATGATGATGATGATGATGATGATGATGATGATGATGATGATGATGATGATGATGATGATGATGATGATGATGATGATGATGATGATGATGATGATGATGATCATGATGATGATGATGATGATGATGATGATGATGATGATGATGATGATGATGATGATGATGATGATGATGATGATGTGATGATGATGATGATTGATGATGATGATGATGATGATGATGATGATGATGATGATGATGACTGATGATGAGATTGATGATGATGAGGAGGAGGAGGGGGCGGAGGAGGAGGAGGAGGAGGGAGGAGGAGAGGAGGACGAGGAGGAGGAAGAGGCAGGAGAAGGCGGAAGAGAGAGGAGGAGATGCAGGAGGAGGAGGGAGCAGGAGGAGGAGGAGGAGCGGGAGGAAGGAGGAGGAGGAGGAGGAGGAGGAGGAGGAGGAGGAGGAGGAGGAGGAGCGAGCAGGAGCAGGAGGCGGAGGAGGAGGAGGAGGAGGAGGAGGAGGAGGAGGATGAGGAGGAGGAGGAGGAGGATGAGAGGAGGAGGAGGAGGAGAGGAGGGAGAGAGGAAGGGAGGAAGGGGAGGAAGGGAGGAGGAG